GTTTATGACACAGGGGATAGGAATTGAGCCAGAGGGCAATGGAGGGAATGGGGTGGCCAGAGGGAAACACAGTGTCATGCCAACATTTTTCTAGAGGCAGTTAGTCATTTTCAAAGCCACTTCCTGTCAAGGTTACAGTGATGGGAGGCAGATCCCGCCTTAACCTCACATGCTGTGGATGCTCATACCTCGTATTAATAAGACATTATCAGGCCAAGTGCCAGGTGAGTCTGTGATTCACAAGGGACAAAACAATGGCACATGCTGGGTGGTTGTCAGCTTTCCAACAGATCCGAATCCCAGACTGCGAGTTCCTGCTCTGCCTACCAAAACTCATAAAAAACTACTATAGAGCCTTCTGAAATGTGACATTTCTACAAGCCAGAGAACAAGATCCATGTTGGAGATTGGTCCATGATTGCCATGTAAGTTTTATGGCACCTAAAGCAACTCCCTCTTGGATGCTAACCCGCCGTGTTGACTTCCGATTAACTCCAGTACCAGGAATGCCTCTAAGATTTCTGTTTTATCTACTGTTCCTTGTGTAAGGACATGTACTAACTGTAAATCTTGTCCATAGATCCTGCCCTTCACATAGCATTCTTGCCTTTTCCTACAGTTGTCCTATATATTCCTTCCCTATGGTATATGAGCTCCGGGTCTTGAGGTGTGATGGCACCAGGATCCACCATCTAGACTAACAGTCACCCAACACACAGACATGGCTTCTGTTTGCAGCAATTAAATGTGTGTGTGTGTTTTTTAAATAAGAAACTGGATTTGTCAACCTCTTTCTTTGACCTCTCAGCTTCTTTGGAATTCAAGGGTAGGTTTGCATTGGTCTGCCCACCTCAGAACAATTTCCCTCTACTATGGACTAGTAGGGGTGTGGAAAAGGAAGGATCACTGTAGCACAAAGAATGTTGTAAGGCTGAGAAGGAAAGGAGGTAATCCCCAGCTACTCTTATTCTCTGCTAGTTTCTAAACTCTTCCACAGAGAACTTTTGTGCCAGGTCAGTACATTTAGGAAGCTGTCTAGTCATGCTGGGAATTCATTCAGTCAATCTTCAGTGGCATTTGGCCATGAGGGGTCTATGTGAGCACATAGGAGGGCACCTAAGCTAAGCTGGGTTTGGGGAGTAGAGAAGATTCTGCCCAGAAAAAGATTCTTAGATGAGATGTGCAAAATAAGTAGCATTTCAGAAAAGAAAAGAAAAAAAAAAGCCATGCAGAAAAGTGTTCCATGCAGTGGGAGTAGCATGTGCAAAGGTGAGTGAGAGAATGAATATTCAGGAAAAAGAAGCTTCTGGTAACTGCAGCCTTAGACACAAAGTGCTAACGGTATAGATGTGGATGGAGAGATGGGAAGAGCCAGCCGAGCCCCATCAGCCACTCAAGCATCAGCAGCTCTCATCATCTGGGTACTGGTGCCAACTTGCCACTCTGTCTCATATGTATTATTTTATGTACTATTCACAACAACCATAGGAAGTAGTTGCTGTTGTTTTCCCCAATTTTAAAGATAAGGAAACTGGGGCCTAGTGAATCTACATAACTTGTTCATGATCATCTTTCTGTAGTTGATTAATGAGAGTATCAGAATTTGAACCCAAGCAGTCTGTCACCAGGGTGATAATGTCAAATCTCCAGTTGTATCAATAATATCATATATATATATATGTTTAGATCAAGATCCAATCAAGGATCATGCGCTGCATTTAGTTGTCATGATCCTTTAGGCTTCTTTAATTTGGTATCCCAGCCTCTTTTTGTCTTTCATGATTCTGACATGTTTTAAGGATCCAGGACCATCATTTTCTTATATAGTCATTCAGTCTTTACTTATATAGTCATTTTTGTGTGTCTTGTTTTAGAATATTTTTCCTACCTCAAAATCTGAAAGATACTCGTGTGCTTTCTATTATGTTTTTTTCCCAACATTTTATTTTTAAAAATTTCAAGTCTACAGAGATATTATAAGAATAGTACAAAGAATATCAATATACCCTTCACTTAGATTCATCGAGCTTTTTGAATTGTTGATATTTTGCCAAGTATACAAATTATGCTATTATTATTAGTTTGCTGAAATATTTAGGAATAAGTTGCACACATTTAACACTTTACCCCAAATATTTCAGCATGTTTCCTACATTCTCCTTTGTAACCACAATATAATTAATATAATTACAATGCTCAAAGAAATGTAACATTGATACTGTTTCATTATTCAATATGTATTTCATATTCTAATTTCTCCAGTTGTATCAATAATGTCATATATATATGTATACATATGTTTAGATCAAGATCCAATCAAGGATCATGCACTGAATTTAGTTGTCATGATCCATGAGGCTTCTTTAATCTGGTATCCCAGCCTCTTTTTGTCTTTCATGATACTGACATATTTTAAGGATCCAGGATCATTGTTTTGCAGAATGTCCTTCTGTGTGGGTTTTTCTGATTGTTTCCTCTTCTTTAGATTCAAGCTAGTATAGTATTTGTTCCTGGTTTTCCTGGCAGTCACAAATCCTTGGTAAAGGTTCCCATCTCCTTTGGGACTTCTGCTAAAAATTCAACCTCCTTTTCAGTCATTGTATTAATTATGGCTCCTGTAATAGAGAGATCACAACTTTGGGGCTCAAAGAAGGTAGGTTTTAATTTCTCTTTTACATAACAATCCACAAGTGAGCAGTCTGCAGTCCTGGTGAAATGACTTTTGCTCCACAAAGTCATCCAGGGACCCAGGCTCCTTCTATCTTATTGCTCCATCATTGTCATCCTCAATAATTGATTCTTACAAAGTCAAAGCTCTCTCACTAGCACCACATTCAAACTTCAGCCTGCAGGAAGGGGAAAGAGAAAGTTAAGAGCATTCAACGCTCTCTTTTCAAAGTATGAGATCTAGAAATTGCTCTTGTAACTTCCATTTGCATTCCCATCTAGTCACCAGGGAGGCTGAGAAAAGCAATCAATACCTGGGAAGCCAATTGCCCAGCTGTAATATCGTGAAGTGTGTATTTGGTATTTGTCACTGTTTCCTGACATATAGCTCCTAAAATCCTTGGATTTGGGGTATCTTTTGTATGCTAATGAGATGACTGGTGGCTGAGAGCCCATAGATCACTTCAATATAGTGGCTGATCATGAGAAAGACCAAGGCATGATTAAAGGTTTGGGACTTTTGGCTCCACCCTGCATCACCCTTCCCAGTCTCTGAGGAGAAAAGTGGGGCTGAAGTTGAAGTTGATCCCAATGGCCAAAGATTTAATCAATCATGCCTACATAATGAAGCTTCCATAAAACCCCAAAGGACTTGGTTCTGGGAGCTTTCTGATAGCTGAATGTGTGGAGGTTCCTGTAGGGTGTTATGACTGGAGAAGGCATGGACGCTCCTGTGCCCCTTCCTTTATGCCTTGTTCTATGCACCTGTTCCATCTGGCTATTCATTTGTATCCTTAGTAATAGCCTCTAAAATCAAACAGAAAATGCAAGTAAAGTGTTTCCCTGAGTTCTGTGGGCTGCTCTAACAAACGAATCAAACCCCAGGAGGGGATCATGGGAACCCCAATTTAGAGCCGATTGGGCAGAAACCCAGGTCACAACCTGTACTTGCAACTGGCATCTGAAGTGGAGACAGTTTTGGGGACTGAGCCGTCAACCTATGAGGTCCAGGTAGACAATGGCAGAATTGAGTAAAATTAGAGGGGCATAGTGGCTCACACTTACGATGCCAGCATTTTGGGAGCCCAGGGCAGGAGGATCACTTGAGGTTGGGAGTTTAGACCAGACTGGCCAACACAGCAAGACCTCATCTCTGCAAAAAATTAGCCAAGTGTGGTGGCATGTGCCTGTAGTCCCAGCTGCTGGGGAGGCAGAGGTGGGAGGATCCCTTGAGCCCAGGAGTTGAAGACTGCAGTGAGCTATGATTGCACTACTGCACTCCAGCCTATGCCACAGAGTGAGACCCTGTCTCGAAAAAAAAAAAAAAAATTAAGAGGACATCCAACTGATATTCACTGCAGAATTGATTGTTTAGTTGTTGTGTTGGGGAAAATCCCCACACATGTGGTATCAAAAATGTTCTGTGTTGATAATTCAGACCGGCTAAAACTCTGGTGGTTATATTAGTAAAAGGAAGAAGGAAAGAGGGCCATTCAGGGAGCATTACTGGTCTCTGCCACAGCCATCCAGTAGGAGGTTATGTCCTCTGGTGAAGACTCAATACATGAACAAGCAGTTCAACTTATTAACCTAACCATGACTTCAGGTCCTCTTTCATAATACTTATTCAGATGTTTTCGTCTCTGGGTAGAGGTATTAGAGATTTTTCTTAATGTAATTTTAAAATATCAAAAATACTTTGTATAATAAAAGGAACAAGAGACACTGAAGCCTACTTGAGGGTAGAAAGTGGGGGGAGAGAGAGGATTAAAAAACCACCTATCAGTAATAGGCTTATTACCTGGGGGATGAAATAATCTGGACACCAAATCCCCGTGACACGCAGTTTACCTGTATAATGAACCTGCACATATCCCTCTGAACCTAAAATAAAAGTTAAAAAACAAACAAACAAACAAACTTCTTTTTTTTTTAAAAAAAAAAGTCACGAGATCAAATTTTCAAGAATGGAAGGTTGTCATCCCGGGAAATTTTTATGTACTTACATTCTCTCAATGAAAATAAAAATTGACAGGCTGGGCATGGTGGCTCACACCTGTAATCCCAGCACTTTGGGAGGCCGAGGTGGGTGGATCATGAGGTCAGCAGATCGAGACCATCCTGGCTAACACAGTGAAACCCCGTCTCTACTAAAAATACAAAAAATTAGCTGGGCGTATTGGTGGGCACCTGTAGTCCCAGATACTCAGGAGGCTGAGGCAGGAGAGTGGCATGAATCCAGGAAGTGGAGCTTGCAGTGAGCCGAGATCAGGCCACTGCACTCCAGCCTGGGCAACAGAGTGAGACTCTGTTTCATAAAAAAGAGAAATACTGACAGTGATGAGAAAATTTAATTTAAAAAGCAGAAACAGTGTGATTCGGATCTCCTCACTTTTCATTCATCACTGAAGAGCCCTAGGAAAAAGAAAAATAAAGTATTTTTAGATGATTGTTTTATTTAAAGTATAAAAGGCACAGCAACACTAAGGGCTAGCAATAGTATGTTAATGCACAGTGACCTCAGTCATTACTTAGACTTATTTCTTCGTTTTATAGGTAAGGGCAAACCCCAGAGAACTGATGATAATTGGAGATGTTGGCTGGGCGCCATGGCTCATGCCTGTAATCCTAGCACTTTGTGGGGTTGAGGCAGGTGGATTGCTTGAGCCTGGGAGTTCGAGACCAGCCTGGGCAACATGGCTAAACCCCGTCTCTACAAAACATACAAAAATTAGCTGGGCATGGTGGTGGGCACCTGTAGTCCTAGCTACTTAGAAACGTGAGGTGGGAGGATCACCTGAGCCCAGGAGATAGAGGCTGTGGTGGGCCGTGATTGTGCCACTGTACTCCAGCCTGGGTGACAGAGTGAGACCCTGTCTTAAACAAAAAGAAACAATTTTTTTATAAAAGAAAGTTTCAGCTAGTTAGCTAAACTTGAACCAAGTTTCCTGACTCTGGTCCATATTCTCCTTCCGTGTCACACAACCTCTCATTGGTTTAAGTCAGTTTCTCATTTCTCACACATTTGGTTCCAGTCACCGCATAGTCCACATAATGCCTTTATCCCTTCCACGTTCTCTGAAAAGAAGTGCATTAAAATAACTGCAGCAACAACAACAAACAGTTGTTGAAAGTATTTAAGTTATGTTTTGGAATCCCTTTCAAAGTAAAAGGAGAACACATGATATCTCAACTCTGGCATCTCCACGTCCCCTCATGCTTAGAGATGATTGTTCTGCCTTTGCCAAATTCCATTAGCAGTCACTGCCCAGATTCCAGTGCCCTTGATGATGTCAAAATAACGTAAACCTGTTTATGACAACAGCTTCCAAGGCATCTTAGAAAAAACCAAAATCAAGCTGAAAGACATAAGCCTATCTTTTGAACACTGTTTCCACTTTGCTATGAAAGGGACCCACTTTATTTTACTTATTTTTGCTTTTATTCGTTTAGATTTTCATTGTTAAATATTGCAAATATAAAAATAAGAACAGAGAATAATATAATATATATCTACCACTGAACTCAAAGGACCCTTAATATTTTGCCATATTTGCTTCAGATATTTTCAGATTTTTTTTAAAGGATATGAAACATTAGAAATGCAGTCAAGGCTTGATTCCATCTTTTGCCTTCCTCCTCTCTCTTTTTCCTTCTCTAGAGGTAACCACTGTCTTGAACTGAGTTTTTATTATATGTTTAGTTTTATATTATTAATAAAAAGCTCAGGTCTGTTTTCTAGTATTTGTTTTAATGGTAGTTTGAAATTTTCTCCACTGAGGTCTTTCATACCTGTTTATCTGTTAGCTTTATTTCAGTTGTCCATTATCATCTTTGTTGCTATCATGCATGGACTTCTTTTTACCTCTCCTGTTTCAAAGCTATAGAAAGATTTCTGTTTTTTTTTTTTATTTGTTTTCAAGCTTTGTTTTGTTGTTGTTTTTAATTTAGGAGGCGTATTAGATTTCTCTGGCTGCCATAACAAATTAGCACAAACTTTGTGGCTTAAAACAAAAGAAAGGTATTCTCTCACAGTTCTAGAGGTTAGAAGTTCAAAATTTAGTTGCAGGCTGGGCTGAACTCCCTACAGAGGCCCTAGGGAAGAATTCTCCCTGGCCTCTTCCAATGCTAGTGGCTGCCAGCATTACTTAGCTTGCAGCCCCATCACTCCAGTTTCTGCCTCCATTACCTTTATTGCATTCTCCTTGTTCATCTGTCATCAAATCTCCCTCTGTCTCCTTCCTAGAACACTTGTGATTAGCTGATGAATTCTCTTGATTACTTCTCCATCTTATATCAGAGAATACCGTTATTTTTGCCTTCGCTCTGGTGATAGATTTGCTGGGCGCACATCCTGTTTACTATTATTTCCCCTTAACACTGTAAAATATTACTCTATTGTCATCTATTTTAGCTAAATATGCTCTACATTCAATTCTTTGTGGGTGATTTACCCTTTATTTAAAGAGTGTTTAAGATTATCTTTATCTCTAATGCTCTGTTTTATCCTGCCCAGTCCTGGGCACTTTCAATCTGAAAATTCACATCTTTATTTAATTTGGGGAAATTCGCATTATTTCTTCAAATACTGCCTCTCCATCATTTCCTTCATTCTGTTCTGCCAGAGCTCCTGATAGTCAAATATTGGACATGAATGCCTTTCAAAGTGTCTTATAGCGGCTATTTGCTTGTTTATTTCTTTGTCTTTCTGTGCCATATTCAGTTTAGATTTATTTCAGTTCTCTAATCTTCCATTTCACAAATTCTCTCTTCAACTGTTCATTCGAGACTTAGGCATAGGCAGCATTAGGAGGTTGTTTTAAAGCTAAGAGCTCTGCTGCCAGCCTGTCTAGATTCAAATTCCACTTCTATTCATTATCTATTGGGCTTGGAAAATGACTGGCTTCTCTGGATCTCAGTTTCCTCATGTGTAAAATGGGAATAATATAGTTACCTCATAGTGTTTATAATATTTAGAAAGCCTATATATATATATATATATATATATATATATATGAAGCATGGAAAATAGTTCTTGACACAAAAGATTTTAACTATTATTAACATTGGTCTATTAACATCCAAATTTATTTAAAAAACATGTTAACGTTAAGAAATAATTTTCATATCATTCTTTGCTGTCCTTAAAAGCAATTATAAGTTTTTTTTAATGCAAATTATGTCTTTGCTTATCTCTTTTGAACATCATAAACATCCTTATTTTAAAGTCATTTTCATACTGCTCCAGTAAGTAAATTTCATCTGGAATGAATTCCTATTCTGAGTTTTGGGTCTGTTGGCTATTTTATTAAATGTTGTTGGTTTTGTCGCATGTATACTATACTAGAAGTCTACAGTAACCAAAACAGCATGGTACTGGTACCAAAACAGAGATATAGACCAATGGAACAGAACAGAGCCCTCAGAAATAATACTACACATCTGCAACCATCTGATCTTTGACAAACCTGACAAAAACAAGACATAGGGAAAGGATTCCCTATTTAATAAATGGTGCTGGGAAAACTGGCTAGCCTTAAGTAGAAAGCTGAAACTGGATCCCTTCCTTACACCTCATACAAAAATAATTGAAGATGGATTAGAGACTTAAATGTTAGGCCTAAAGCCATAAAATCCCTAGAAGAAAACCTAGGCAATACCATTCAGGACATAGGCACGGGCAAGGACTTCATGTCTAAAACACCAAAAGCAATGGTAATGAAAACCAAAATAGACAAGTGGCATCTAATTAAACTAAAGAGCTTCTGCACAGCAAAAGAAACTATCATCACAGTGAACAGGCAGCCTAAGAATGGGAGAAAATTTTTGCACTCTACCCATCTGACAAAGGGCTAATATCCAGAATCTACAAATAACTTAAACAAATTTACAGGAAAAAAATCAAACAACCCCATCAAAAAGTGGGCAAAGGATATGAACAGACACTTTTCAAAAGAAGACATTTATGCAGCCAACAGACACATGAAAAAATGCTCATCATCACTGATCATCAGAGAAATGCAAATCAAAACCACAGTGAGATACCATCTCACATTAAAAAGTCAGGAAATAACAGTGCTGGGGAAGATGTGGAGAAATAGAAATGCTTTTATATTGTTGGTGGGAGTATAAACTAGTTCAATGATTGTGGAAGACAGTGTGGTGATTCTTCAAGGATCTGGAACTAGAAATACCATTTGACCCAGCCATCCCATTACTGGGTGTATACCCAAAGGATTATAAATCATGCTGATATAAAGACACATGCACACACATGTTTATTACGGCACTATTCACAATAGCAAAGACTTGGAACCAACCCAGTTGTCCCTCAGTGACAGACCTGGATTAAGAAAATGTGGCACATATACACCATGGAATACTATGCAGCCATAAAAAAGGATGATGGGTTCATGTCCTTTGTAGGGACATGGATGCAGCTGGAAACCATCATTCTCAGCAAACTATTGCAAGAACAGAAAACCACACACCGCGTGTTCTCACTCATAGCTGGGAACTGAACAATGAGAACACTTGGACACAGGAAGGGGAACATCACACACTGGGGCCTGTTGTGGGGGGGGGAGGGGGAAGGGATAGCATTAGGAGATAAACCTAATGTAAATCACGAGTTGATGGGGTGCAGCCACACCAACATGGCACATGTATACCTATGTAACAAACCTGCACGTTGTGCGCATGTACCCTAGAACATAAAGTATAAAAAAAAACACAAGAATGACTGTTAAACAGATGTTCAGATTATGGGAGAATTTTAAAAGAATCTTTATGCTTTTAAGTAATTTTCTTTTTCTTTTTTTGTTTTTTTTGAGATGGAGTCTCGCTCTGTCGCCCAGGCTGGAGTGCAGTGGCGCGATCTCGGCTCACTGCAAGCTGCTCCTCCCGGGTTCCCGCCATTCTCCTGCCTCAGCCTCCCGAGTAGCTGGGACTACAGGCGCCCGCAACTGCGCCCGGCTAATTTTTTGTATTTTTAGCAGAGACGGGGTTTCACCGTGGTCTCGATCTGCTGACCTTGTGATCCACCCGCCTCGGCCTCCCAAAGTGCTGCGATTACAGGCGTGAGCCACCGCGCCCGGCCGCTTTTAAGTAATTTTCAAATCACAATTAGTATATTTCACATATATAGTGAAATTCAAATTATTTTTTTAAATTTTAACACAGACATATGCCATATGATCATGGTGACAGACTGAATCTTCCAAAGATAGTTGTGCCAATGTTTACCCCATCCAATATGCTCTGATAATGTGACACTGGAATTTCTCCGTCAAGAAGTCTGTGTTCCGTCCTCTTGAACATGGGCAAAACTCTGTCACTGTCTGAATCGGGAAAATACAGAGCATTGACTCTGTATGACTCTTGAGAATAGATTATAAAAAATACCTGGCTCTCTTTCCCTGAGAAAACTTGCCTGTGGGATCCAGCTATCATGTCGTGAGCAAATCCAGGCCACATGCAGAAGTCATGTGTGGGTGTCTAGCCGGCAGCCCCAGGTAGGTACAAATGAAAGAGAAGTATTCAGATGATTTCAGCTCCCAATCTTCAAATCTTTTAGCTAAGGCATGGATGAACCAAGATAAACTGTCATTTCTCTACCCCATCTGAATTCCTTTTGCAAATAAATCATTAAAATCAGTGATTGTTGTTGTTTTAAGCCACTACATCTTGCAGTAATTTGTTATTCACAGTAGGTAATCAAAATATTGAAAATAAAACTATCAAATTATCCGGCAATTCTACTTCTGTGTCTATACCCTGAACAAGTAAAAGCAGGAATGTGAAGAGACATTTGTACACCCATTTTTGTAGCAGCATTGTTCACAAGAGCTAAAACATGGAAGCAACCCAGGTGTCCATGGATGGACGGGCAGAGAGTGCGATTTGCATACAGTGGAATATTGTCCAGCCTTAAAAAGGAAGGACATTTGGACGCATGTTACAGCATGGGTGAATCTTGAGAACATTATGCCGAGTGAAATAAGACAGTCACAGAGACAAACACTGTATGCAGCACACCAACATGGCACAAGTATACATATGTAACAAACCTGCACGTTATGCACATGTACCCTACAACTTAAAGTATAATAATAATAAATAAAAAAAAATAGTCAAAATCATGGAGATAGAAAATAGAATGGTGGTTGCCAGGAGCTGGTGGGAGGGGGAAATCACGAGTTATTGTTTAATGTGTATAGATTTTCAGTTTTACAAGATGAAAGGAGTTCTGGAGATGAATGGTGGTGAGATATGGAACATTTCCGTCATCTGAAAAAACTTCCTCTTGCCAGTTTCTAGTTAATACCCTTCCCCCAATCTCCAGCCCTTCATAATCAAGGATAGTATCTCTGTCCTTAGTCATTTTTCTTTTCTCAAATATCATATAAGTGTAACCATGCGACATATACCTACTGTGTCTGGCTTCTTTCACTTATCGTAATGCTGGTGAGAATTATCCATGTTGCTGCATCTACCATACTTTGTCCCTTTTGATCGTCGAGTGGTATTCTATTGTTTGTGCCACAGTTTACGTATATATTCATCACTTGATGGACATTTAGTTTCAATTTTTGATACTTTTTAATAAAAGTGCTATATGCATTCACATACATGTATGCTCTTTAATAAACACAAAAAGTGAGATTGCTGAGTTGTTTGCTAAGTGTTTGTTTGAATACAAAAGGCACTTGCAGATTGTTCTCTGGGTTAGTTTTCCCACTGCATTCCCAACATCATGTGAGAGATCTGGCTTCTTCATATCCTTGCCAGTAGCATTTGCATTGTCTGTTTCTGTTCTTGTTTTTAATTTTTATCATTCTGGTAGTATGTCATGTAGCTCAATGGGATTTTGATTTTCATTTTTATAATGACTAGTGATTTTAGGGATTATTTCATGTCTGAATTTGCCATTTATATCTCTTCTTTTGCACATGTATGGCTTTGGTTGTAAAAGTCCTTTGTATTTTTTGAAATTAAAATCTTTATCAGACATGTATTACGTAAATATGGTCTCCCAGACTACAGCTTATGCTTTTATTTTTAAAAAATATTTACTGATGACTAATTTATTGTTGCTTTCTATTATGGTTTATACTTTCACATCCTATATATGAACTATTTGTAAACAATAAGAACACAAAAATTTTCTTTCATTTATTCTAGAAATGTTACCATTTTGGTTTTTACACTTTTTGTTTCAAGTTGATTTTTGTATGTGGCACAAGAAATGGATAATGATTCATTTGGTACAAGTTGTCCAAGATATCACTACTTGTTGAACGTAGTGTCCTTTCTCTGTTGACTTACCTTAGAACATTTGTTAAAGGTCAGTTTGGTATCTGTGCGGGTTGCTTTCTGGACATCCTTTTCTGTTTCTTTGACGTACATGTCTGTCCTTATGCCAGTGCCACCTAATCTTGATTAACTGTACCTCTGTAGTAAATTCTAAAATCTAATAAAAAAAGCAAAAAAAATGTATTGCAGAGTAACTCAGGCAGTAATATTTCTTTAGACTTTATAATTTTGCAGAATTTAAAAAATTCGTAATTTATTACTTCTTATTGTGTAAATAGATGTTGGCTTTTTATCACTAATTTCATGATGGTTATTTTTCTTAGAGTTTTTTGCTCTTCATAATTACATAAACTTCAGGCCCCCAACCATGGATCTGTGTGGGAATGTACAGTCTCCCGAACATACTTTCTGATTATCTGCCTCTGAGACCACATTGTTTTTCAAGGAGTGTTAAATTAGAAGTCAATACTTCTGCTTTTAATAGACTAACAGGGATTAGCACCACAGATGATAATTATGAGATAATAAGACAGAGACCGCTGGGGTTTCGAGGAGTAGGGAGGAATAAAATGGAACCAGAAGATATGTGTTTGCTTAGTGTGCATGGATGGCTTTGTGCACATTGAAATTTGTGGCTACTTTGAACAAAAATAATTTTTAATTTATTACTGTAATAATTTTAAAATCCTAGTTCTCTTTAAGCTTAGTTGATATTAAGCTTTAAATTCATTTTATTCTAATGATAAATACAGTAAGCTTTAAAAATCATTTTAAGGAAGTTTTTGATTACCATGTAATCAACTTATACAGAATAATGAAAATGTCCTAAATAATCAACTTTATGACTTTATTTTTGCAAAAATTTTAAGCTGGTTTTATAATTGTAATATACTTGATTTCTTTTGGAACATTTAGAATGGCTAGCCTAAAAAGCAAATCCTCTTTACCTACCCATTCCCCTAAATCTGATTAAAACAATCTTTAAAATACAGTGAATCCCAAGTTCCCTTAAACATTCCAGTATTGTTCACAGACTTGTTCTCTTATTCCTTTTGACTAAAAATTTCAAGCTCTAAAACAAATTAATGATACATTTTAAATTGGAATCACAGAGCTAATCTGTCACACAAATATGCCAAATTCTTAAACATAACACTCTAAATATCAAATGCATGAATTATTCCTAAATTTAGCCCCAAATTATTACTGAGCATTTGATTTACTATCTCTGTAAGTCTTTCCAGAATTAAATGTTTTCCCATCCTAGGTGAATTGGGGTCACCATCCTCAGGGACTTGTGGCACTTACTAATTAGAGAATTTAGCCAAGATGAGAAACTCAACAGTCTCCAAGAATGGCTTCTGGATGAGCCATGCCTCTTGGAACCCATACCCTTGTATAGTGCCTGCTCTCAAATCTGGCCTGGTACTATGGCTCCAAAATGGTTTTATGTGAAACCAATAGAATTGGCAGAATAAAATGCTACTGGCAACTGGTGTCCTGGAATGTTCACACTGAGGAAAGCCAGCTGCCATGTAAGATGCTTGACTAGCTTCAGGTCACCAGGTCGTGGAGAAGCCCAAACTAGCTATGTGGAAATGATGTGTGTGGAGAGAAATGCCTGGTTAGTCCCACTCTCCCAACCCCAAACTATTCATTCCAGCTGGGGGTCCAGACACCATACTTGTGAATCAAACCATCCCTGCAGAACTCCATTTGAATTCCTTACCTACAAAACCATGAAATATAAAAATATCAATTGTTGTTTTAAACTACTAAGTTTCAGGGTAGTTTGTTACACAGCAGTAGCTAACTGGAGCCCCTACAAGGTGATTCATCTCCCAGGCCACTAATGACATGCTGAGCCCCCTTTCCTGGTTTCCGTAACATGGGATTCCAGGCACATCTCTTTCAATTAGGATTTTATTCTGATATTTTAGTGCATTTAGTGTTGCTGTAACAGAATGCTTGAGACTGGGTAGTTTATAAAGAAAAGAGGTTTATTTAGCTCATGATTCTGGTGGCTGGAAAGTTCAAGATTGGGCATCTGTACCTGGTTTTGATTACCATGTAATCAAAAAGGTTCTCAGGCTGCTTCAACTCATGGTGGAAGGTGGAAAGAGAGCCAGCACATGTAAACAGATCACATGGCAAGGGAGTGAGCAGGGAGGGGGCCAGGCTCTTGTGAACCAGCTCTCATAGGAATGAAAAAAGTGGTGGGAATTTTCTCATGTAATTAATCTATTTATGAGGGATCAATCCCCATGATCTAAACACTTTCCATTGGTCCCACTTTCTAACACACTAGGGATCAACTTTCAACATAGGGTTTGGAGGGGACAAACGTCCAAACCATAGTCCCTGGTTATGTCTGTCCCTAAGTCTTCCATCCGATTTCAGTCAGCTGGCTCCCAGCCCAAAGATCACAGAAACTTCTTTCATGGCTTGATTGGATCTTGATTTTTTTTGTGTTGTTTAGTTTGGTTTCTTTTAGTCGAGGCTGAATTTTTCAAAGACATCAAATGATGTCTGATTGGATTCTGCATTTCTTTCTTTGCCATGCTCTGAAGCCACAGCACTAAAGTCATGCTAATGAAATGGAGACCTGTGCCTCTGTCAGTGACCAGGGTCCCCCAAGTCCGCACCATAGAAAAACTTCCCTGAAGTGTGTAGTGCTTCCTCAGTACCTTTCTGTTGCTGCCATGAGACCAGGTAGCTAGAAGGCTTACAATCTAAGAGATTTTAACTTACTAAGGCTTGAGACCTAAAAATATAATCATTGGCTTCAATATTTTCCAAGAAAGCTGCAAAATCAAGCTTGAAAAATATTTGACTAAATGTCCACAAATATATGTTAATGTTACTAAATGCTGAATTTAATACTTATAAAAAGTTTATTACATTCAAACACAACTTCAGGCTAGCCTTTTTTCACTTTACAAGAATTCCTGAGGAGGCCTGTCGAGTATCAGAATATCATAGTTAACTGTAAATTACAAATATATATATCAAAAGGAAAAATGTAAATACATTTTACATTTTCAGTTAAAAAGTATATATAATGTGGGCTAGGTGCAGTGACTCACACCTGTAATCTCAGCACTTTGAGAGGCTGAGGCAGGTGGATCACTTGAGGTCAGGAGGTCAGGACTAGCCTGGCCAACATAGCGAAACCCCATCTCTACTAAAGATACAAAAATTAGCCAGGCATAGTGGCACATGCCTATAGTCCCAGGTATTCAGGAGGTTGAGGCAGGAGGATTGCTTGAACCTAGGAGGCAGAGGTTGTAGTGTGCTGAGATTGCACCACTGCTCTCCAGCCTGGGTGACAGAGCAAGACTATCTCTCCAAAAAAAAAAAAAAAAAGTAATGTGGATTAATGTACCTTTATATTTTTATGATGTCTGGTGGGTTTGGATTTCTACAAATGTGAGTACTATGGCTATTCTGTGTTCTATGATGGTCTTGGGGAACTGACTAGTTTGCTTTAAAAACAGCCCAGATCCATTTTGTATATACAGTCACTCCTCCAGCCCACTCAGTTTTCCATGGCTGCATGCTGTTCTTTGACTTCATCTCTTACAGAAGTAGATCTTGATGTTTTAGTCCTACCCTTAGGCAATCAGTATATTATTGCCAGTTTTAGAAATGTCACCAACAGGTTCGTTCCAAGATGGCCAAATAGGAACACCTCCAGTCTGCAGCTCCCAGCATGATTGACGCAGAAGATGGGTGATTTCTGCATTTCCAACTGAGGTACTTGGTTCATCTCACTGGGACTGGTTGAACAGTGGGTGCAGCCCACAGAGGGTGAGCCAAAGCAGGGCAGGGAATCGCCTCACCCAGGAAGGGCAAGTGGTCCGGGGATTTCCCTTTCCTAGCCAAGGGATGCCATGACAGACTATTCTGGGAAAATTGGGACAGTGCCACCTAAATGCTGCACTTTTCCAATGGTCTTAGGAAAGGGAACACGAGGAGATTATGTCCCGTGCCTGGCTCAGTGGGTCCCACGTCCACGGAGCCTTGCTCACTGGTAGTGCAGCAGTCTGAGATTGAACTGCTAGGCGGTAGCCTGGCTGGAGGAGAGGCGTCTGCCATTGCTGAGGCTTGAGTAGGTAAACAGAGTGACCTAGAAGCTTGAACTGGGGGGAGCCCACTGCAGCTCAGTGAGTCCCACCTGCCTCTGTAGACTCCACCTCTAGAGGCAGGGCATAGCTGAACTAAAGGCAGCAGAAACTTCTGCAGATTTAAAAATCCCTATCTGAAAGCTCTGAAGAGAGTAGTGGTTCTCCCAGCACAGTGTTTGAGATTTGAAGATAGACAGCCTGCCTCCTCAAGTGGGTCCCTGACCCCTGTGTAGCCTAACTGAGAGACACCTCATACAGCCAGGTGTGCCTCCAGAGGAAGGATCAGGCAGCAATATTTACTGTTCTGCAATATTTGCTGCTCTGCAACCTCCACTGGTTGATGACCAGGCAAACAGGGTCTGGAGTGGACCTCCAGCAAACTCCCAATAGACCTGCAGCTTAGGGACCTGTTAGAAGGAAAACTAACAAACAGAAAGGAACAGCATCAACATCAAAAAGAGGACATCCACACCAAAACCCCATCTGTAGGTCACTATCATCAAAGATGAAAGGTAGATAAAGCCACAAAGATGGGGAGAAACCGGAGCAGAAAAACTGAAAATTCTAAAAACCAGAGCACCTCTTCTCCTTCAAAGGATCGCAGCTCCTTGCCAGCAATACAACAAAGCTGGACAGAGAATGAGTTTGACGAGTTGGCAGAAGTAGGCTTCAGAAGGTCGGTAATGACCAACTTCTCTGAACTAAAGGAGGATGTTCGAACCCATCTCAAGGAAGCTAAAAATGTTGAAAAAAGATGAGACAAATGGCTAAGTAGAATAAACAGTGTAGATGTAGAAAAGACCTTAAATGACCTGACGGAGCCGAAAACCATGGCACAAGAACTGCGTGACGCATGCACAAGCTTCAGTAGCACAATTCAATCAAGTGGAAGAAAGGGTATCAGTGATTGAAGATCAAATGAATTAAATGAAGCGAGAAGAGAAGTTTAGAGAAAAAAAGTAAAAAGAAACAAAGCCTTCAAGAAATATGGGACTATGTGAAAACACCAAATCTACACTTGATTGCTGTACCTGAAAGTGACGGGGAGAATGAAACCAAGCTGGAAAACACTTTTCAGGATATTATCCAGGAGAACTTCCCCAACCTAGCAAGGCAGGCCAACATTGAAATTCAGGAAAGACAGAGAACATCATGAAGTTACTCCTTGAGAAGACCAACCCCAAGTCACATAATTGTCAGATTCACCAAGGCTGAAATGAAGGGAAAAACGTTAAGGGCAGCCAGAGAGAAAGGTCGGGTTACCCACAAAGGGAAGCCCATCAGACTAACAGTGGATCTCTTGGCAGAAAACCTACAAGCCAGAAGAAAGTGGGGGCCAATATTCAACATTCTTAAAGAAAAGAATTTTCAACCCAGAATTTCATATCCAGCCAAACTAAGCTTTGTATGTGAAGGAGAAATAAAATCCATTACAGACAAGCAAATGCTGAGAGATTTTGTCACCACCAGGCCTGCATTACAAGAGCTCCTGAAGCAAGCACTAAACATGGAAAGGAACAACCGGTACCAGCCACTGCAAAACCATGCCAAATTGTAAAGGCCATCAATGCTAGGAAGAAACTGCATCAACTAACGGTCAAAATAACCAGCTAACATCATAATGACAGGATCGAGTTCACACGTAACAATGTAAATAGGCTAAATTCCCCAATTAAAAGACATAGACTGGCAAATTGGATAAAGAGTCAAAACCCATCAGTATGCAGTATTCAGGAGATTCATCTCATGTGCAGAGACACACATAGACTCAAAATAAAGGGATGAAGGAAGATCTACCAAGAAAACGGAAAGCAAACAAACAAACCAAAAAACAAAACAGGGGTTGCAATCCTAGGTTCTGATAAAACAGACTTTAAACCAACAAAGATCAAAAGAGACAAGGCCATTACATAATGGTAAAGGGATCAATTCAACGAGAAAAGCTAACCATTATAAATATGTATGCACCCAATTAAGGAACACCCAGATTCGTAAAGCATGTCCTCAGAGACCTACAAAGAGACTTAGACTCCCACACAATAATAATGGGAGACTTTAACACCCCACTATCAATATTAGACAGATCAGTGAGACAGAAAGTAACAAGGATATCCAGGACTTGAACTCAGCTCTGCACCAAATAGACCTAATAGACATCTACAGACCTCTCCACCTCACATCAACAGAATATACAATCTTCTCAGCACCACATCACACTTATTCCAAAATTGACCACATAGTTGGAAGAAAAGTACTCCTCAGCAAATGTAAAAGAACAAATCACAACAAACTGTCTCTCAGAGCACAGTGCAATCAAATTAGAACTCAGGATTAAGAAACTCACTCAAAACCACTCAACTACATGGAAATGGAACAACGTGCTCCTGAATGACTACTGGGTACGTAATGAAATGAAGGCAGAAAAAAAGATGTTCTTTGAAACCAATGAGGACAAAGGCACAATGTACCAGAATCTGTGGGACACATTTAAAGCAGTGTGTAGAGGGAAATTTATAGCACTAAATGCCCACAAGAGAAATCAGGAAAGATCTAAAATTGACACCGTAACATCACAATTAGAAGAACGAGAGAAGCAAGAGCAAACACATTCAAAGGCTAGCAGAAGGCAAGAAATAACTAAGATCAGAGCAGAACTGAAGGAGATAGAGACACAAAATACCCTTCAAAAAATTAATGAATCCAGGAGCTGATTTTTTGAAAAGATCAACAAAATAGAACACTAGCAAGACTAATAAGGTGGGAGAGAACAATCAAATAGATGCAATAAAAAATGATAAAGGGGATATCACCACTGATCCCACAGAAATACAAACTACCATCAGACAATACTATAAACACCTCTACACAAATAAACTAGAAAATTTAGAAGAAATGGATAAATTCCTGGACACGTACAGCCTCCCAAGACTAAACCAGGAAGAAGTTGAATCCCTGAATAGACCAATAACAGGCTCTGCAATTGGGGCAATAATTAATAGCCTACCAACCAAAAAAAGTTCAGGACCAGACGGATTCACAGCCGAATTCTACCAGAGATACACAGAGGAGCTGGTACCATTCCTTCTGAAACTATTCCAATCAACAGAAAAAGAGGAAATCTTCCCTAACTCATGAGGCCAGCATCGTCCTGATACCAAAGCCTGGCAGAGACACAATAACAACAAAAAGAGAATTTTAGACCAATATCCCTGATGAACATCGATGCGAAAATCCTTAATAAAGCACTGGCAAACCAAATCCAGGAGCACATCAAAAAGTTCATTCACCACGATCAAGTTGGCTTCATCCCTGGGATGCAAGACTGGTTCAACATAATGCAAATCAATAAACGTAATCCAGCATATAAAAAGAACCAAAGACAAAAACCCCATAATTATCTCAGTAGATGCAGAAAAGTCCTTTGACATAATTCAACAGCCCTTCATGCTAAAAACTCTCAATAAACTAGGTATTGATGGGACATACCTCAAAATAATAAGAGCTGTTTATGACAAACCCACAGCCAATATCATACTGAATGGGCAAACACTGGAAGCATCCCCCTTGAAAACTGGCACAAGACAGGGATGCCCTCTCTCACCACACTGCTATTCAACATAGTGTTGGAAGTCCTGGCCAGGGCAATCAGGCAAGAGAAAGAAATAAATGGTATTCAAATAGGAAGAGAGGAAGTCAAATTGTCCCTGTTTGAAGATGACATGATTGTGTATTTAGAAAACCCCATCCTCTCAGCCCAAAATCTCCTTAAGCTGATAAGCAACTTCAGCAAAGTCTCAGGATACAAAATCAATGTGCAAAAATTACAGTATTCCTATACACCAATAATAGACAAACAGAGAGCCAAGTCATGAGTGAACACCCATTCACAATTACTACAAAGAAAGTAAAATACCTAGGAATCCAACTTACAAGGGATGTGAAGGACCTCTTCAAGGAGAACTACAAACCACTGCTCAACGAAATAAAAGAGAACACAAACAAATGGAAGAACATACCATGCTCATGAATAGGAAGAATCAATATCGTGAAAATGGCCATACTGCCCAAGGTAATTTATAGATCAATGCCATCCCCATCAAGCTAGTAATGACTTTATTCACAGAATTGGAAAAAACTGCTTTAAACTTCATATGGAACCAAAAAAGAGCCTGCATTGCCAAGACAATCCTAAGCCAAAAGAACAAAGCTGGAGGCATCATGCTACCTGACTTCAAACTATACTACAAGGCTACAGTAACCAAAACAGCATGGTACTGGTACCAAAACAGAGAGATAGACAAATGGAACAGAACAGAGCCCTCAGAAATAACACCACACATCTACAACCATTGTCCTTGACAAACCTGACATTGTCCTTGACAAACCTGACAAAAACAAGCAATGGGGAAACGATTCCTTATTTAATGGTGCTGGGAAAACTGGCAAGTCATATGTAGAAAGCCAAAACTGGATCCCTTCCTTACACCTTATACAAAAATTAATTCAAGATGGATTAGAGACTTAAATGTTAGGCCTAAAGCCATAAAATCCCTAGAAGAAAACCTAGGCAATACCATTCAGGACATAGGCATGGGCAAGGACTTCATGTCTAAAACACCAAAAGCAATGGCAACAAAAACCAAAATAGACAAATGGCATCTAATTAAACTAAAGAACTTCTGCACAGCAAAAGAAACTATCATCACAGTGAACAGGCAGCCTAAGAATGGGAGAAAATTTTTGCAATCTACCCATCTGACAAAGGGCTAATATCCAGAATCTACAAATAACTTAAACAAATTTACAGGAAAAAAATCAAACAACCCCATCAAAAAGTGGGCAAGGATATGAACAGACACTTTTCAAAAGAAGACCTTTATGCAACCGACAGACACATGAAAAAATGCTCATCATGACTGGTCCTCAGAGAAATGCAAATCAAAACCACAATGAGATACCATCTCACACCAGTTAGAATGGTTATCATTAAAAAAAGTCAGGAAACAACGGGTGCTGGGGAAGATGTGGAGAAATAGAAATGCTTTTATATTGTTGGTGGGAGTGTAAACTAGTTCAACGATTGTGGAAGACAGCGTGGCGATTCCTCAAGGATCTAGAACTAGAAATACCATTTGACCCAGCCATCCCATTGCTGGGTATATACCCAAAGGATTATAAATCATTCTTCTATTAAGATACATGCACACATATGTTTATTGTGGCACTGTTCACAATAGCAAAGACTTGGAACCAACCCAGATGTCCATCAGTGACAGACTGGATTAAGAAAATGTGGCACATATACACCATGGAATACTATGCAGCCATAAGAAAGGATGAGTTTGTGTCCTTTGTAGGGACATGGATGAAGCTGGAAGCCATCATTCTGAGCAAACTGTCGCAAGGACAGAAAACCAAACATCGCATGTTTTCACTCATAGGTGGGAATTGAACAATGAGAACACTTGGACACAGGGTGGAGAACATCACACACTGGGGTCTGTTGTGGGGTTGGGGAATGGGGGAGGGATAACATTAGCAAAAATACCTAATGTAAATGATGAGTTAACGGGTGCAGCAAACCAACAGAGCACATTTATACGTATATAACAAACCTGCACTTTGTGCACATGTACCCTGGAACTTAAAGTATAATAAAAATAAAAAATAAATAAAATGTCACCAACAAATGGAATAATTTGCCCATAGGTCTACAGCTAACAGGTGGAAGAAGGGCCAAGAATGGCACCCATGTCTCCTCACATTCCTTGTCCTCCTTGTTTTTCCCTTAAAAGCCTCTTGTAGTATTCATTTTACTCACACATCAAAAACTATTGTTGGTGGCAGGAAAGGTACACAATGTGATTGTCTTATTCTGCTGAGACATGGTCATTGGGTGGCCAAGGACTCACCCTTACAACTGTGCTTTGAAAAAAATGGAATCAATAAGAAAGGCTACACAGACAGGGGAGAAAAGCAGAGTCTGAGTGAAGAAGCACACATGACAACAAAAACCAAAAGTACTTAATAACATTGTCTAGGGCCAGCCCTCCTCCTCATTTCCATTCTACATGGGGCTTGGATCATAGGTCGGAGTGCAGGCACTAGGGTAGTTTTCTGTGACTGGATCCTGGAGGTGGGAGACAAAGATAGGATATGTTAGACAGATTGATCATCTTTGGGAAACTTGCATTCTCTCTGCCTTCAAACCAAACCCGATTCCCAGAAAAAGATCTGCTCTTTGTCATTTACACAATCCAAGTCAGCAAATGACCTCCCTTGGGGGTGTATGCATTTCAGCTGCCTGATTTTGGTTGTGAGGAAATAGGACTGAATTCTGGCTCACTTACTGATCACGCAGGGCCTCATGTCCTGTCTTTCTGCTTACTCACACTCCTCTGCTTTCATGGTAAGATTTGGCCTCAATTTTCCTTGCCACCAATTTTATTGCAAAATCATGTATATTTTAAAGTACCTCAAAACCTTTTCATTACTAGGCAGCGTATACTTTACTAAGTTGAGAAATAACTGCGTTCCCAGGAACCGAGAAATGTTTATTTTCCCTGGGGTGTTGGTACCTCCTAAATCATGCCATGTAGTTAGTTAGTCCTGGCCTATACCATCGTCAGCATCCCCCAAAGAAGCTACAGAAGCTCCACATTCACCCATGGGAAATCTTTTCTGGAGCTCAAAGCAAAGGATAAACCATGCAGGTGGTCCATGCAGGACGAAACTTAGAGAAAATCAAGCCAAGAGGCAGGGAAAATAAGAAACATTCAAACAAAACTTCAAAACATTTAAAGCTAAACAAAGGTTTTCTCCTTTTTAATATTTTCATAAGGAAATTTAAATAATCCCAAGTAGCAAGAAGTGAGTGTACCTTGCCCTTGTATTCTCTGCCGAGTCTTCCTTCAATCCTTCTCTCCTCTTCTTTTTTTTCTTTTTTTTTTTGAGGCAAAATCTCGCTCTTGTCCCCCAGGCTGGAGTGCAATGGTGCAATCTCGGCTCACAGCAACTTCTGCCTCCCGGGTTCAAGTGATTCTCCTGCCTCAGTCTCCTGAGTAGCTGGGATTACAGGCGCCTGCCACCATGCCCAGCTAATTTTTGTATTTTTAGTAGAGATGGGGTTTCACCATGTTGGCCAGGTTGGTCTCCCACTCTTGACCTCAGTTGATCCGCCCGCCTTGTCCTCCGAAAGTGCTGGGATTACAGGTGAGAGCCACCGTGCCCGGTCAATCCTTCTCTCCTCTTGACCGTGTCCTCTCAGTTTCTCCCATTCATCCAGTGTGGTCCTGGATCCATCTCTCAGACATTTCTGCAGGAGATGTTCTCTCTAGTTGGCTGGAGGAATATCTAGGGGGCTGCCTAGGCTATCCTGTGTGACTCCCTGCCTTTAGCATGCCTTCCGCCTGGAGGCCCTTATTGCTGGATTGGAAGTGCTGAATCTTACCCAGTCCTGGGGGCAGGCCTGCCATTTCCTGTAGCCACACAGTCACCTGCACATCTCCCCATCCTTCACTGCCCTGCTGTAACCCCACCAGCTCTTGTGTCAGGCAGAAATCAGAACTGTCTGGGAAGCAATCACTTGTTTTGTGTCTGGTCAAGATGACACAGAGGTAGGATAAATAAGAGACGATTTAGCAGCTCTCCCAGAAACAGAACATGCTCCAGTGACCTAGTTTTTGAGCTCAGACCAAGAACCTGGAGCGCTTTAATGATTTTTTTTGTTGTTGTTGTTGCTCCAGTCTCTTCTGCTCGAATTGCTTTTTTTCTGCAGGCTCAGCAGAGATGAAACACAGCTGGTTGTCATTAGATACCCCTCCAGTAGTCTCCGTGCTATCGAAAACAACTGCGTCAGATACCCCTTCTCCAGATGAAACCATGACAAAATGCTAAATATTTCCTCTATGTTCTCTTTTCCCATTCAAGTCATCAATGCTAACATCTCATTTGGGGGCTTGACTTAAAATTAGTGTCTTTCATAATGGACGAATATTTAAATTGGATAAATTTTAAATTCTTATTTTTATTTTAAACAAATAGTGTGTGCATATATACAAAATTTCAAAGGTACATAAGGGGATACATTGAGAGCAGGGTCTCCTTCCTGCATCTGTCCCTCAGCAACCCAATTCTCAGATCCAGAAGCAATTGAGACTTGAAAATATAATCACTGTTACTAGATTCTGAGGGTTCTAGTAGAAATGGTTAATGCATTAAAAAAATATGGTTTTATGTGGTCAACTTTTTTAGATTCCACATATGAGTAAGATAATGCAATATTTGTTTTTATGTGCCTGGCTTATTTCACTTAGCATAATGTCCTCTGGGTTTACTTATGTTGTTGCAAATAACAGGATTTCTTTCTTTTTATGACTGAATAGTATTCCATTGTGTATATATGCCACATTTTCTTTATCCATTCATCCACTGATGGACACTTAGATTGATCCCATATCTTGGCTATTGTGAATGGTGTTGCAACAGACATGGCGGTGCAGGTTTCTGTTCGATATACTGAGTTCATTTCCTTTGAATATATACCAGTAGTGGGATTGCTGGATCATATAGTAGTTCTATGATAATTTTTTTAAGAACCTCCATGTGTTTTCCATAATGGCTATAGGCATTTACATTTCCACCAACAGTGTGCAAGTGTTCCTTTTTCTCTACATCCTCTCCAACACTTGTGATCTTTTGTCTTCTGGGTAGTGGCCAGTCTAACAAGTGTGTGGTGATGTCTCATTGTGGTTTTTATTTGCATTTCTCTGATGATTAGTGATGTGGAGCACCTTTTCATATGCCTGTTGGGTCGTAGAAATAGAGTAGAATGGTGGTTACCAAGGTGACATGGCTTGGCTCTGTGTCCCCACCCAAATCTCATCTCGAATTGTAATCCCCATGAGTTGAGGGAGGAAAGTGACTGGATTATGGGGGTGGTTCCCCCCATGCTGTTCTCATGATAGTGAGTGAATTCTCATGAGATCTGTTGGTTGCATAAATGGTAGTTTTTCCTATGCTGTCTCTCCCTCTCTCCCCCCGCCACATGCTGCCACACAAGACATGCCTGCTTTGCCTTCTACTATGATTGTAAGTTTCCTGAAGCCTCCCTAGCCATGCAGAACCATGAGTCAATTAAACCTCTTTCCTTCATAAATTATCCAGTCTCAGGAAGTTCTGTATAGCAGTGAGAGACAGACTAATACAGAGGGGCTAAAGTAGTTGCAGGGGTTAGGGGAAGGTTGCTGGGAAGATGTTAGCTAAAGGACCCAAAATTTCCGTTGGGAAGAATAAGTTAAAGAGATATATTGTACAACATGATGACTATAACTAAAAATATAAGGTATTCTTGAAAAATGCTAAGAGAGTAGATGTAAAGCGTTGTCCCCACAAAAAATGGTGCCTACGAGTGGTAATGCATATGTTAATTATAATAGCTAGTCATTCCACAATGTGTGTATACTTCAAAACGCCATGTTGTACCTACTAAATACATAAAACTCTGTCAACATAAAATATAAAAATAAAAATAAGTAAAATAGTAAGCACAAAATTTAAAAAAACAAAACCACGTGGTTCTATATATTACACACTTGCAAGTAGTAACAAACATACGCTGTTCTATATTTCACAGTATATTTTTAGATCTTCCCATAGTACACGTAAAGCTATTTCATTTAAATGAGAGCATTTTGGCATATAGTGATGTACCACAATTGATTGAACCCTTTACTATATTAAATGTTTCTAATATTTTATTATTATAGAGTGCTGTAATTAATATCTGTGTACTTTCATCACTTTGCACATGTAAGAATCTATACATAGGATAGATCTTTAAAAGTATTGCTGGGGGCTGGGCATGGTGGCTCACACCTGTAATCCCAGCACTTGGGAGACCAAGGTGGGCAGATTATGAGGTCAAGAGATTGAGACCATCCTGGCCAACATGGTGAAATTCTGTCTCTACTAAAAATACAAAAATTAGCTGGGCGTAGTGATGCATGCCTGTAGTCCCAGCTACTTGGGAGGCTGAAGCAGGAGAATCTCTTGAACCCGGAAGGCAGAGGTTGCAGTGAGCTGAGATTGCGCCACTGCACTCCAGCCTGGCCACAGAGCAAGACTCCGTCTCTAAAAAAAAAAAAAAAAAAAAAGATTGCTGGGCCAAAGTGCATATGAAATTTTAATTCTGAAAGACACGTTTTGTCACCCAGTTTCCCTCCAGGGAAGTTGTACCAACATATCTTTCTACCTCCAGTGGGATAGAATAAGTTTCCCTACTCATCAACACTGCTTTTATTCAACTTCGTTTATTTCTTTTTGAAAAATGTCACCTCACTGTAGTTTTAGTTGGCAATTCTTTTATTATGACTGCATCTGAGATTGAAATTACTTTCATAAATTTCAAAAACAATTCATATTTTTAAATTGTGAATATCTAATCATATCTTTGTCCAAATTTCTAATAATTTGCTCGACTCTGTATTGATTTGTGGAGGCTCTTTTAAACTAAGGACATTAGCTCTCTGCTGTGTCTTGATTTTTTTCTCTGCCACACAAAAATGTTTTAAACTGATGTGGCTGCACAATTTAATAGCTTCTGGATTCTGTGTTTTAAAGAAATGCCTTAGCAACTCCAATAATATATTTTTTAACTCTCCTATAGTTTCTCTTGGCATGTTTACAGTTTGGTTTTTTATGTTCAAATTATTTTATTTTATTTTTTATTTTTTGAGATGGATTCTCACTCTGTCGCCCAGGCTGGAGTGCAGTGGCATGATCTCGGCTCACTGCAAGTTCCACTTCTTGGGTTCACACCGTTCTCCTGCCTCAGCCTCCTGAGTAGCTGGGCCTACAGGTGCCCACCACCATGCCTGGCTGCTTTTTTTGTATTTTTAGTAGAGACGGGGTTTCACCATGTTAGCCAGGATGGTCTCAACCTCCTGACCTCATCATCCGCCTACTTTGGCCTCCCAAAGTGCTGGGATTACAGGCATGAGATACCGCGCCTGGCCATGTTTAAATTTTTAAACAATGTGGAATTTATTTTAGTGTAAGATGTGAAATAGTGACCAATTTCTTTTTTTCAGATGGCTACTTAGTTGTCCCAACACCATTTATTAAATAAGCTGATTCTTTTTAAATGATTTGAAATGCAACCTTATCACATATATTATATATATGTATATTATATGTGTGTAAATATGTATATACACACACAGTAAAATTATATATATGTACTGAGTCCATTTTTGTTTCATGAGTCTGTCTTGTCATACCCCAGACAACATTATTTTAATCAGTATGGCTTTACAATGTGTCTTAATACTTGGCAAAGTCAGTCCTTATGTACCATTCTTATCCTTTTTCAAAATCTTTCTTCTTCTTCTTGTTTATTTTTCATGTGATTTTACAAAAGGGTTAACTTTTTTCTTGTTACACACTTTCTATTGGTTTTTTTGTTGGTTTCACGTAAAATGCATTGATTAACTTAGTAGTAAAATACATTTTTATGATCTTAAATCAACAATCCTAACCAAGATCATAGGATGTCTTTCCATTTGATCTTCTTTTATGTCTAAAACAGTAATTTTAAAGTTTATTCTTATGTCTTGGTAAACTAATTCCTAGGTATTTGGCCATTTTTGTTGATGTTGTAAATAGAATGTCTTAAAAAAATTTCTGTATTCCAACTTGTTTGTACATATGAAGGCTATAGACCTCTTGAATATTTCACCCCTAACCACCATTTTATGTTAGATATAATATACTTTCAGTTGATTATATAAGAGTTTCAAGATAAATAATCTTACCATCTTCATGTAATCATGCTTTTCCTTTCTAAGGTGTATGTGGCCTTTAAAGAATATTTTCCAATTGTATTGTCTGGTACTAGCAGAATAATTTAGCATAATAGCAATGATAAAAGACATCCTCTTTTCCCTGGCTTTCGTGGAAATACTTCTAGGATTTTCCCACT